GCAGTTCAGTTTCAAGAAATCTATTTAGTTTGTTGCAAGGATTTTACAGTTTGAAGAAATAGAAAAGGACACCATACTGTATGCCAACCGTCACAAGGATGAAAATGAAAAGGAAGGGCTAAATATACTGCATGCATTATTTAGGGAGTTAATGTTGCATTACTTCTTCAGCTCCTTGAGTTATTTACTGTCACAGGAAGCAGCTTCGGCCTGAGAGGAAGTGTTGGGTTAGGGCAGAACATTGAGGATTTTCTGCTAGGAAAGTAAATAGAGTTTCCTGGCTTAACATTTTGACTTTCTGTAGCAGGGATAGAATAAACCAGATCAGCAGTGGCTCAGCTGCATTTATAGATCTGTATGTAGGGGCCGTCAGGAGCCCAGCCAGGGTCAGCCTGGTCTGGGTGTCATTTGAAAGGCTTTTTAAAAAAGCTTATATTACTGTTTCTTCTGCCTCCTAGTCCTTTCCCTTCACTACCTCGGGATCACTTAGCATCCCTGATGCCTCTCTTGCTGTTGCACAGCTTCACACTTCAATGACGGTGGGCTGTGACGTTCGCCCACCAAGCTGCCGCTCTTTCTGTCAATGCAGGCGTTCACTCACAGAGCAGAGAGTTTCTATTCCAGACCTGAAGTCGTTTCCCTGGTCAGGGCCGGACCCAGAATGTGACTGGGAACTCTTTCTCCACCTCTGCTTCACATTCTGCTTTAACTGAATGAAAAAACATGTAAAGTTTTAGATTTTCTGCTCCAGCTTTTGGCCAAACTGCCTCTTCTTCTGATGAATGCAGACGTCTGCTGCAGGAACCAGCGTAGTTCCAACGTTCTTCCTTTCTTCTCCTCCTACAGTGCTCCACGGCCAGCTTCAAGGATCAGTGCGGGCTCCCCACCGTGGCCAAACTGAAACAGTGCATCCAGAGCTTGGCTACCAGACTTCAGAGCCCCGAGGGAGCCATGGGGGCCGCCATGGTGCTGAGGGAGGGCTACCCCTGTCTGGAGCCGCTGGTCAGCCTCTCGGAGGCGACTCGTAAACTGCTGTCTGCCTACGACACGGTCAGTATGTCTGAAATCATTGCAAACGGTGGGATTTTTCTATCCAGATAAAGATTTTTTTCTAGCTTTATGTAAACAGAAAACATCTCCTTGAAGTCCAGTGAACTAAGATGCATCTAAGTAGAAAGAAAAACTTGTAGGAAGTACGACTTGCGTTATCCTGTAGGACAGGATCTTTGCCCCCCAGGCCATGATCGACAGCACGCAGCTTTGATCGGAAAAGTCTTTTGACCTTTTCTACAGTTGCAACACTTTGAAGCACCGCAGCGTTTCATCTACACTGTTGAAAAGGATTAATTAGATTGAGTAAAACTGAATTAAGTTTAGTTAAATCAGATATTTATCCTGTGGGAGAAAGACTGCAGAAGGAATCATACCTATGGTGGCCTGGAGGTGCAAACCAATTACAAAACCTAAAAAACTTCCAAAACAAATGATCATTTCAGAAAACAAATTTACATAAAAAAAATTAATATAAACAACATATTTAAAATTTCAAAACAAATAGCATTTTAAAAAAACCAATAAAAAACATTCAAAACACTTTTACAAGTCCCAAAAAAAAATATCATTTGAAGAATTCAACTGGAAAGGGTGGGAACTAAACTCCGAGGCTGAACCGGTGTTATGTGAAATTCTGTTTCTGTTCCTCCTGTGTCGGGAGCGTGGATTGCAGCCAGAGAGGCATCATTTCATTCTCTTTTAATTATGGCAAAGGAAGATTAATTATGACCAAATTTCCAGGATTTGTTGTTGATGGTCAGAGGAATAAGCAGTTAAAGATTACAGAACAACAGAAACAGATTATTTCAGGCAGCTGAATCATCCATTCTCTCCTCTCCTCCTC